TACTTCTTGGGTGCCTGCCTGGCTTAGAAAGATTTCTCTTTACTAAAAATGGCTTCAGAACTCAGAAGTTATCTCTCAATAGACTAAGTCATCCGATTTTTTCCCCAGCAACCACAGCTGATTGTCCAGAAGCTGTCATCTGACCCAGGCTGGACCAATCAGAATATCTTTCACACTGAGACTTGAATTCAGGCCCCTTTAAGAGGTGGAAGCCTGGTATGTGAGTCTTGGGAGTTCTCCGTGCCACGGGAAGGATCTTGACTATTGCAGGAGACTGAATCCCACATGTGGAGAGAAGCAGAGACATAGAGCATGTGTCCTGTTGAATTCCAGTCCCTAGTTCTACTTGCCCCTGAGGCTCAGGTGTCCCTACTTCCCAGGGCTGTGTGAACTGTTGCGTGTGTTTATCTGGTAAATTCTCTCTCTCTCTTTTTTGCCTATGATAGCGATGTTCCTTCCATTTGTAACAAAAGCACCCTGAATATTTCAGCATGGTGTATCATGTGCTGTGCTGCCGCTAGGGTTGTATAGAGATGTATGGAATAGAACTTTTAGCTGTAGGGACTTTACAGTATTGTGCACAAACCATAATATAGGGTGGAAGGTAATAAGTGCTGGAAGGGGATTCAAGAGCTGAAAGAAAGCAACGGTGAGGCTTTAGGGACAAGTTCTTGCCTGAGATAGCTTTTCAGCTTGCCTCTCAGGTAAGATAAGATTTAATCGTATGGCAATGAGGGAGAGAATATCCTGGAGACAGAGAAGACAACATGAGCAAACATTTAGCAGCATGCAAAATGGGATATCTGTGGAAAACAGCCATGCCTGGCAGGTCAAATCACTCAGCAGCAATGGGCAGCCCTGAAGATTCTTAAGCAGGAGAGGAATGTGGTCTTCGGAATAATAAATCCAACAGTGGATTGAAATGAGGGAAAGAATAAAGGCGCGCTGTTAGGAGGCTGCTACGGCATTCTGAGCTGAAAATAACGCATGCTTTAAGTAGGAGGAAGCCAACAGGAGTGGACAGAAAATGAGGAAACTACTTACTTCAGATAATCAATATTTTTAGTAAAGAAGGATATCTAAAGAGCAGGAGACTGAGATGGAATGTGAACTTGAGGAGTGAAAAAAAGGCTTTGCTAGTGGGTGGGGGCAGGGGTGAAGCTGCGAGAAGGAGCCAGAAGTGGCTACAGGGCAGACCAGGGTCATTGAAGTCTTCCTTGAGGTTAAACAATAAGAACTAGAAGTAAAACCACCAACCGGGCTCTTCGGCAGGTGGCCTCACATCAGAGAAGAGAAAGTGGAAGATGCAGGTTACCCAGAGAGGGCACCTCGTGAAGTTCGTGGAAAAGAAAGAACAGGAGTGCTGGAGTGAGAACCTTAGAGAAATGGTTGAGCCCAGGAATGGCCCCCCCAGGGGACTGCATATCTTCAAAGGGGGAAGTCTGTAGCCTGGGCGAGGGTGCAAGCAAAGTCAGGGGGACACTCAGAAGACAGTGAGGAGCACGGGGACCGTCAGTCCAGCAGGGTTAAGGGAATGTGAGATCCTGCAGAGCTGAAAGGAGAATGTCAGGGTTCCAGAGCGTGGGCCTGGAGTGGTTCTGCGTGGTCTGCTTGTGTCTTGATGACAGAAGACCAGCGAAGATAAAGGTGTCCAGACCTGAGGGGGCTGAGGAACTGTAAGGAAAGGTTATATTTGGATGTTTCTAGAACGGGGAGGAACAAAAGACCAGAGCATCTGAAGAATATCCTCAAGAGTGGTAGGCAGGAAGGTCTGGGCATCAGAATGGTGGAGACTCCATAGACGTTGTTGAGAGTTGGTGATGGAAAAAATAGTCAGAAAAAGGAACTAAGGAAAGGAATAAGGAGCGGCCCTTAGCGGCACGTCAGTTTGGAATGGGGCAGGAGGGGGACAGGAGGTATGCACATGGAATGCTGTGCAAGGAGGGGAGAAAGTGTCCTGCAGATAAAGGCAGATTTTGATTGAAGGGGGGGTGATGAAAGGAGCGGTTGGAGTAGAGATTAATGATACGGGATGGTTTGTGTCCAGGAGATGACTGGTTTCCCCAGGTGCCCTGAGGAGAGCTCAGACGGAGCTGTAGAGGAACAAGAATGCAGAAAAAAGATGAGCACAGTTGATAATTTCCCGTGGTAAGTTTAATGAAGTGAGAGGTAGCTTAAGACTCACAGTAACGATAAGGAAGCAGATATAGGAAGATGGATTCTCCCCAGAGTTCTTTTTAAAGATTGTTTTCACAAGCGTGTCTATGTCCCCCTCCCACACTCGAGCATTTATGTGCTTGGTGAATCATGCGTGAGTGCACATGCAACGTAATGAGGACTCACCCGGCCTTTGCTGCGTTTGGAGATAAGGGACCTGTGTCCCTTTTTGATCACTGAGTAGACAGCTGAGTGTAAAATATCCCAGAGAAAATAGATGTTTCCCCAACTCTCTTTTTCAGTCTTTGGAGTGGGGGGAGACGGGGGGAGGGAGGAATGTCAAGTTCAATAGCAGAAAGGGAAGCAGAGTTGTCTGAGGGCCACCTTAAGAGGTAGAGTCCATTTTCCCTTCAGAGCTTCTTCTCCAAAGCCTCAGAAATTGGAAGATTATCACCCCTTTGGCTTCTCCCTACAGCGTGGATGTAAAGTAACCCTGTTCCACTCATTTTCAAACCCACCAGGAAGTGCTTGGGGTGGCCCCAGTTTCAGGCCCCAGATGCAGGGAGTCCTGTTTGGCGAGGATAGATCCTACAAATAGCGGAATTAGGCATGGGTCCCAGAGCTGCACCCAGAGACCATGAAGGTGCTCCCCTCGTTGGATCCCTCCTGGCATTTGTCATCCATGTCATGAATGAGGCAGCAGCATGGGGCAGTGGTTAGGATGTCCACCCACTGGCTGTGTGACCTTTGGCAAGTTATTAGAGTTCTTTACTGTCCCTCACCCAGATCACCAGTATGATGTCATCCTGGATCATCAGTATGATGGTAATATACCTCATTTGTATGAATCGTGAACACGGAGCATGAAATTAGCCCAGCACCTACTGCAGAGTTGAGCTGGCTGCTCATGTGCACACACACATTGCTTATTATTGTAGATTCAACAAGCTTTCAGTGAGACGCAGGAGGCAGGCCGCGTGTGCAGTGTCACCCAGTCCTTGAGTAGCACAAGGACAGATCGTAGGCCAACGGTACCAGGGCCGTGGGGACAGCCCAAGTCCTTGGGAAGGAGGAGCTTTACAAATCCAGGGGGCTGGAGGAGAGACTTCAGGTGTGCCCTGGGTTGCTCTGTATTTCTATAACGAGGTTCCGGGAGCCTCACTCCTCAGTGGGGTCTGAACCCCACTGAGAGCTGGCATCCTCCAGTTAGAAATGCTGACTCTCACCAGAGCTGCCGGAATCAGAGCCTGCATTTCCAGGACACACAGGTGACTTGTGTGCACGCTGGAGCTTGAGAAGACATGCTGTTGAGGGATGAGGCTCTCTACTGACTCGATTTACTTAATCAGCACAACCTTCCAATAAAGGTGTGGACAGCTCACAACCTTGTGTGGCTTCTGGGGAGCGAATGAGAGGAGGTGATGGTCAAAGGAGAGACCTTTAGGCTGGCTCCCTCCTAGTCAACTAGATTTCATTCGCTCCTCGCTGGGAAGGCTATTAATACGGAAAAAGAGTGGGATAGACCCTACTGAACACTCAGCAGTGCCTGGTGATTTGGGGCCTCAGAAAATCAGATGAAACATTTTAGGGAAGCAAATTAATGAAGTGCCCAGTGCGAAGGAATCAAAGCCTAGGTTGGCCCCATACCGGCTGTGTTTGCAAAGCGCCTGGTGCCGTACTTGCGAGTGTGTATATGTGTGTGCATGTGTGTGCACATGTGTATACAGTCCTCCTACAACATGCATGGTGGGGAAAGACGTCTGCTTTCTTTCATAAACAGAACCAGTGTATCTGCCTAAGAGGGAATGCTATTTGAACACCTCTTGTCAGGGCACACAAATTCTCTCCAAAGATACAGGATGGAGTTTTCTTTCCTGTGACGTAGAACTGGTCTCTGGGCCCAGCCAGCTCTCCCTTTCTCTTTGCCTTGCCCCCAACACCTTTTCCCTCCATTGTTATCATTTAACAGAGAACACAAGTTTCCAGCTGACAGAGCCCATGCCCAGCTCCTCCACTGAACATTGCACAGGCGACCCGTCTCGTGCCGCCCCAGTAAACAGACAAGTCAGGAGACAGTGTCCCAGTGCTGCGGGAGCCCAGCCCGGGTGCTCCAGGAGTCAGGCCCTGCCGCTTGGCCTTGGGACTCCTACTCCCCGAAGGAGCCTGTGGGGTCAGCAGACCCCCTGTTCATCAGCACCACTCTGGGATTTGCCCTGTTTGGTCAGGAATGTTCCTCAGATAACGAGCTGAGAGGAATGCAGGCTCTCCATCAAAGTTTCCCAGTGACGGCGGATCTTTATCATGCCCCGGCAAGGGCAGGCACACCACTGGAGCAACTCCCTGCGAAACCTCAGAACCGCGACACTCAACTCCTGGAACTGAGTTGCAGGAAAAAGTGTGCAGGGGGTTGCTTGCTCCAGGACACCTTTGACCTGGAACTGAAAACACCCTTTATTTTTCTGTCTTGCTCCTCCTTTTAGAGTGACCCCAGTAACTGCAGATTACTTAACGGTTATATTTAGCAAGTCAGGGAAGGGATTAGGCAGTCCCAGCCAAGCAGCCTTCCTTCCAGGCCTGGATTCCTTTGCCTCCCCTCCAGTTCCTTCCTGCCAGTTGACTCTTAACCCCTTCCTTCCCTGGCCAGCCTCAAACATCAGCAGAACAGATAGACTGTGAGAGAGGCTGCCCAAGTGTCCAGGTCCAAAACTCAGCAGCCGAAATCCTGCTCTGAGACAGACTTCTCTCTTGGAGCCTGAACATTTTTTGATCATGCAGTGTTTCCTAATAAAAAGTTATGCAAGTACCCTTGGAACGGGAAATGACTTAAGCTTTTCTTTTATCAGCTCATAGACTCTGAAGAATGAGCACAAGTCAAGGCTTTGGAGGAGGGACAGCTGACTGATGAAAACGGAACATGAACCACTCCCCCAAATCCACCAAAACGGAGCAAAGAATGGAAAAGGGCCTAAACTGGGAGGAGGACAAAGTGAGCGGAGGAGGACACAGAGGGGAGAGTGCATGCCTTTGCCCCAGCTGTGAGTAAAATTAAAAGTCATAGTAACGAAAGCCCTAAACACTGAGTTAACGGGCACGTGTGCATGGGAGGAGGGGCAGGGCGTGCAGCAGGAGACCTCCGACCTTCATCTTCCGTTTGAGAAGGCCTTGGCCAACACCTAAATCTGAACGTGGAGACGGAGCTGAGTGGGCTTGTATTTTAGAAATACAGAGTAAATACTAGGGAAAAAAATACCTTAAAAGAGGGGGAATTCGAAGTACAGGACTCAAATGTAGTAAGGGCTCTTGTCTTCCATATTCCAGCAGAATTTAGTTTTTAAACTAGGTCATGTATTTTTCTCATAAGAATTGAAATGTAAAAATGTAAAAGATGTAAAGAGAAATGCCTCAAGTTTCATGTTTCTACTCAGGGCTGGCTCCATGGGGTTGGTTTAAAGCCTGAGCCATTCAGAGGCTGACTCGATTGAACTATCTCCACCACACCCTTGAGAGGAAAGCAAACAGACCTTGCCCCATGAAGTATGACTAAAAAGATAGCATTTTCCTTTGACCCTGCCTGGCTTCCAAAGAGGCAAACCTGGGGTAAATCTATTCCACTCTAAACCGTAGGCCTGGGCAGGGTACAGAGGAAGGGCTTGCAAAGGGCCCGTTCCAATGGAAGAATTTGCATCTCCTTTGCTGCCCAGATTTCTATTTCCCACGTTCAAAGACTCCACGCACCAGGTAGACCTGGCCTCCCTGTGATTCCTGCCCAGGCGACTACCCCTGGGGCCGGCCCGCACCTGCAGTGGACCTTGTGTAGGGGGTGTGCCCCGCACGCCACTTTCCACTGGTGTCTGGGGGGGTCCTCGCTTGGGAGTGGGGGTGGGTGGTCATCCACGGAGTCCTTCTTCTCAATGTACAGAAGTGCATTAAAACCCTGGGCCCGACTGCTAGGATCCACAGACCGTAACTCAAAAGCCACCGTCCCACAGTGGCACACATGCTGCCTCTGAGGAAAACGCAACGCATCACTGTGTCTGGGCAGCCCTTGCAAAAATGTGTGAAAAGAAGCAGCTGAGATGGTATGAAGCCTCAGTAAAGGCCCTGGCGTACAGTCAGCACTCAAATAATATTAGTTATCACTATGAGAATAATCATGATCACTTTGAACAGGACACAGTCTCAAAACTGTGACGAATTTACATTGCATTCTCTTACCAATACATGCCTTTTCTATTTTTTTAAAGATTTTATTTATTTATCTTTAGAGGGGAAGGGAAGGAGAGAGGGAGAGAAACATCAATGTATAGTTGCCTTTCGTGCATCCCCTGCTGGGAACTGGCTTGCAGGGAACTGGCCTGCAACCCTGGTATGTGCCCTGACTGGGAATCAAACTGCGATTGTCTGGTTCGCAGGCCCACGCTCAATCCACTGAGCTACACCAGCCAGGGCCTCGTATTTTAATTAATTAAAATAGTTTAATAAACCCATTGGTTGATTATAAACAAATCCCCTGGATTCCAGAGATTTCAGCTTTGTAACCTATGAAAAACTGAACACCACTGCTGCCCAAACAAGGTATAAGGAGAGCTGCTAACCTTCTCCGAACTTTCCTCTTTGTCCTAAAGCCAACGAGATGTGCTGGCTACCGCTTTAAGACAATATACTATTCTACTGAGGAAAGCTGTCACAATTTTATAATCATTCCCCCAAAACTGGATATTTAGATTACTTCTTTTCATATTATTTATGATGCTGGATGAGCATTTTTGTTAAAAAGCCTTTTTCCACAATAAGCTTATTTCCTTATGTTAGACTCACTATTGGAAAATAGTAAAGGGGAATGAAGATTTTGCATTTAAAAGGTTCTTGATTTTTATTTCCTAAGAGTTTTACTACTTTATAGTCTCACTGAGAGTAGTTTATCTTGCTGGCATCAAATAATTTTTTTGGCCCTGGCTGGGTAGCTCAGTTGGTGAGAGCGTCATCCCAATATGCCAAGGTTGAGGGTTCAATCCCCAGTCAGGGTACACAGATGAATCAACCAATGAAGACATAAGAAGGTGCCAACCGCAAATCAATGTTTCTGTCTCTCTCCCCCTCCTTCTTCTTTTTCTCTCTAAAATCAATTTAATACATAAAAAAATGATTTACTTCTCTATTAAATTACCACAAATTTAGTGGCTTAAAACAACACACATTTATTATCTGATAGTTCTCGAGATCAGAAGTCCAACACGATTCTCAATGGGCTAAGGTAAAGGTTTTGGTGGGGCCCTGGCTGGTGTAGTTCAATGGATTGAGCACTGGCCTGGGAACCACAGGGTTGCTGGTTCAATTCCCAGTCAGGGTACATGGCTGGGTTGCAGGCCAGGTTCCCAGCTGGGGGCGCTCAAGAGGCAACTACACACTGATGTTTCCCTCTCTTCCACTCTCTATAAATAAATAAATAAAGTCTTTAAAATCAATAAATAAAAACATAAGTTTTAAAGTATTGGTGGGGCTGTGTTTCTTCTGGAAGCCCCCAGAAAGAATCCATTTCTTGCCTTTTTCAGCTTCTAGAGGCGGCCCTAGAAGAGGCAAGCCCATTCGTTGGCTTGTGGCCCCTTTGCTCCATTGCCAAACCCAGCAGCACAGAACCGAGTACTCCTCACACCGCCATCTGTCTGGTTCTCTCTTCCACCTCCCTCTTCCCCTTAGAAGGATCTTTTTTATTACACTGGACCCAACAGGATAATCTTCTCAAGATCATCTCATTAACAAACTTGATTCCAGCAGTAACTATACTTCCCCTTTGCCATATATTCTAATATGTTTACAGTTTCCAGAAATTAAAATGTGGACATCTTTGGGGTGCGATGGGGGGGCATTATTCTGCCCCCTACATTCATGCCTAGCTTCAAGTCAATTAGCACACTTGATTTTCCTGGACACGGTCATGGTCATACGGACTAATCCAGTCCAATCAGAGTAAATGTCAGCTCTAGCTAGGAATGTTGGGACAGAGGACTCTCACTCTTCTTCTAGACCCATCTTGCCTACCAGTACAGAACCCACTAGCCACAGTAGGCTTTTGAACACTTCAAATTAGGGTACTGTGACAAAAAAATTAATGCAAAGTATATTAGCCATTTAAAAATGATTATATAGTAAGATAAAGTTTTGCATATATTGAATTAAATAGAATACATTATTAGAATTAATTTACCTTTTTCTTCTTGCTTTTTAAATATGTGACTACTATAAAATTATAAATCACACATAGGCTTCGCATTATATTTCTACTGAGTGGTGCTATCCCAGATGATAAAGCAAATAGATGTGAGTCCTGAAACTGCTCTAGCAATTTTTGCCAGGTTGTGGAAAGTCAGCTTAGATGAAGCTGGAACTGAAGAGGGAAGAACAGAGGGAAAGAAATTGGCTCCTTGATAATATCATTGAGCCACTGGTTCAACCAACCTAGAACCATCCAACCATACTCTTTCTAGTCTAACATACTCGTAGACTTTCTATCCCCTCCTCTACAGCCCAGGTGAACACTTTTCCAGGCTATGCATCCCTTCCCCTTAGTCTCAAATATAATGTCTAAATAAGTCCTTGAGCAATTACAAACCTTTAAAAAAACACTAGCCCTTTCTAAAATGGTTAAAGTAGCTATATGATCAGTGTAAAGCGTTTGGTCAACACAGTAAAGCCAGAAGACAGTATCCATAACCCATCCTAACATCTCTTCTCCCTACGTTAAGCAAACATTCTATTCTGGTATGTGTAACTCAAATAGCATTTAAGTCAAAAAGTACAACAATTACTACATCATCCAGTGAACAGCATCCAGAATGTGTTTGCTTGCCAGACAGAGCAGCAGAGAGGGGGTTACTTCTCACTTCCTTCTTCTGGAATCTTCTCGTTGTCAGTTTATCTACTCATCTCCAAGACTTTTGAGTATTTAAGGTATTTCTCCTCAAGCTATGCCATTTCCAACCAGTCTCACCAAGGAGGTGGCTGCCAGCACCTTGAAGATGAAGATCTGTGGCTTCCTTCGTCCTCTTCCTTGGCTTTCCTTGACCTTTGGTCTGTTCTGTAACTTCTCTGTGCAGAATTCTTTTCAGTGCCGTGGGACTCGGCAAGTTCAGCTGCAGCAGCAGCAGCAGCTCAAGCTGCTCTGTGAGCCTCCTGTTATCCATGCTGCCTTCAATTCCAGTGGCCTTAAAGTGGTGTCTGCTCACCCTTAAGCAAAGCTTAGGATGCCTTAGGAAATGGTAGACAATTGTTCAAAATTGAAATACAGCTTTGCCGCTAATAACACACAAATCTCATAGGCATAGAGGATCTCACAATAACAGTAACAGCACGAGGCCGAAAGAAAAAAAGCCTGCTGGAGCCTCCTCTGGCCGTGTGCTGTTGCTCATAGGAAGTTGTCTGAACCTGGGAAGCTCTGTGCACCCACACGTAATGCGAAGTGTTCTGTGTCTGCAAACTTGCATTGTGTGCCAGACTGCCATTGAACCAGTTTCCCTTTTTTTCTAGAGTGGCTTTTCTAATGGGGTTGGGGTCAGAGGGATCACAGGTCTGAAATAAGAATATTCTAGAATGTGTTCTAGAATATATTCAGTTAGATGCTATTTTTAAAACAAAAGCTCTTAACTTGCTTTTTAACAATGCAGATGTTATTTTATTCATAAATAAATTTAAGATAAAAGTCATTCAAAGTCTTTATAAAGACTCCATATTACTTAAAATTAATATTAAAAGCTAGCAGTGAGCCCTGACTGGTGTGGCACAGCGAGTTGGATATTGTCCCGCACACCAGAAGGTTGATGGTTCAATTCCCAGTTAGGGCACATGCCTGGGTTGTGGGCCAGGTCACCAGGTAGGGGCGTGTGAGAGGCACCTGATTGATGTTTCTCTCACATTTTGATGTTTGTCTCCCTCTCTGTAAAAATAAATAAATTAAAAAAAAAAGTAAAGTTAGCAGTGAGATTTTACCCGTGTTTGATTGCCTTATGGCCAGAAGCCTATGACTTTCATAATCCCATGGCCCGCAGCCCCAAATGGTTTATATGCTGGGAGGAAGAGTCAGACGGGGAAAAACGCATGACTTGGTAAGAGGTGGTCAAACTCTCCATACCCCCAAATGTGGGTTGCCATGGTGGAAATGAACTGGAGAATGTAGCCAAGAAGATGCAGTGTGACTTTCTGTATTCTGCCTTCTTGAATCCAAGATGACAATTTGCAGCCTCAAACCCACTGACTCCCTCCATTGTTGGCAGAGACAAGGAAGAACAGAGAGACTTGGCCAGACCTTGCTGACCAGGGAAATTGACCTCGACCCCTTCTGATTATTACCTTGGGCTGCAGAAGGGCATGAAGCTGCCTGGAGGATAAAGGGCCTGCAGCGGGTGAGTGTTAAACTTTCAAGGAGAAATGACAACTTCTAAAATGTTTCATAATGAATCAGAAGCTCTCCCTCCCTTTGTGGAAAGCAGAGATGAGGGTGGTATATAGAGAGGGACAGAAACATGAGAATGGGGGCCTCTCCTTTCTATAATAGAAAGCAATACCTAATCTAGAACCTTACACCTAGCAGTCATCTCGCAGGCATTTGCTACTTGTTTGAATGCTGTGATGGCATGAGCATCTTTGTCCTTATTTATAATGGAGTTACCAAGTTGTACTTTCATGTGATGCTTTCCTGATTGTTTGCGATGTTTAAGCTATAACATCCAGCTCCTCCCTTCAAAGAGCTTGTAATCTAATTGAGACAAAACACAAAATATCGTATCCATAAAAATTTACATAAATGTTGAAGACAATTATAAAAGATATAAAGCAGTCAATGGTTAACTGTCCAGTAAATGATAAGGACAATACTCACTAAAGGCTTCCCAAGGAAGAATGGACTACTTTGAGCGAGGCCGGCCAGGGAAAGGCCAGAGGAAACAGGATTTCAACTGACCTCACAAGAGAGCTACCAGTAAAAAAGGAGAAGAGAAGACAGGGTGGATGTTCCAAAAGGTGTAGCCAAGTATAGGAAAGATCAAGGTAGATTTCAGAAATGGTGAATAAAATGCTTTGACCAAAGCATAGAGTTTATTAGGGGAACAATGGAAGGTAAGATTGACAGGTTATCTTGGTATCAGAATTTGAATGACAAGCTAAGGTATTTGAACTTTAGGTATAGGCAGTGGGAAGTCATCAATGCTTCTGAGCAGAGTAATAATGAGATCAAAGTGGATCAAAATCAAGTCTTTGGAAAAAATGCTAAAAAATGTTGACATGGTACTATTAGGATGGTATTGTTTTCTTCTCTATTTTGCAAACATTTAATTTTTCCAATCAGAATTATAATCAGGTCATTTATTGCTAAAAGGTTAAGTAATTTTCTTCATAGTCTCTCCATACTATGTCTCCTCTCTAGAACTTTCTTGGCTTTAGGCATTTGGTTTTGATATGCAATACCTTGAGAAGTCCAACTAACTTGCTGTCCTACTTGAGATTCCAGTTCAATAGAATGTCAACATGCCTTTACCATAGGCATAAAGTCTACAAAGCACTTGGCTAGAGATCACTGTGCTGTCATGCTCACAAGTTGTTCCCATAAACATCTAACTACAAAAACAATCTCTTGGTGTCTAGTCCCATCCTGGCTGCTTTCCTACCCCATGGTTCCTTGCAACAAGCCATGACTTTATTTATTCCTCTCTTCTGTTCATGCTAGCTCAGGTTCATCTTCCTTGCCTGTCCTCAAAGAACTTCACCTGCTAAGCTAGTAGGAAGACCTATTTTTCTTGCTAAAAACTAGTTTAAAATGGATGGCTTATTGATTCTTTTAAAATTTTTTTATTGATTGATTTTACAAAGAGAGAGAGAGAAACATCAATTTGCTGTTCCACTTAGTTACACATTCATTGGTCTATTCTTATATGTGTCCTGAGGGAGGATTGAACCATATCAGGATAATGTTCTAACCAACTGAGCATTATTGCTTATTATTATGCTTTGTCGTCCAACACAGAAATTTTGGTTCTTGAAAAACTGTCTGGCCCTGTTAGAAAAATGGGCATTCTTAAACTGCCAATAGCCCTGGCTGATGTGGATCAGTGGGTTGAGCGCTGGCCTGCAAACCAAAAAGTCCCCAGTTCAATGCCTGGTCAGGGCACCTGCCTGGGTTGCAGGCCAGTTCCCCAGTTGGGGGCATGCAAGAGGCAACCTATTGATGTTTCCTTGCACATTGATGTTTCTCTCCCTACTGTTCCCCCTCCCTTTCCTTCTCTCTGAAAAATAAAATCTTTAAAAAAAACTGCCAATAGTGTATTTGGCTGATAGCAATAAAAAAAAGCACTTGCACTGAATATTAACATCAATCTCTCTTTCTTTAACCCTTGAACTAAATATTCTCATACCAAACCACAATGTGTTACCCAAAACACAAGGTGTGACCGACTGGTCTCGTGCTGGAGCACTGGCCTTAACGCATAAAGGTGGGGTTCAAATCCTAGTATTACCATTTACCACTTGTGTGCCTTTAGGTAAGCGTGTACATTCTCCGATCCTCAAATATTCTATGTATTAAATAAGAATAATTCCTTCCACACAAAGTTGTGACAGGACATACTGTGACACGTTACACAAACTGCTTTATGCCAAAGCCATTTTTAAACCATAAAGCTCTTTACATATGTGAATTCTGAATAGTATTTGAATGTCTGTGTTGAAAAGTAGAAAACACAAGCAAAAGAAGGAAGACAAAGTAAATACTGGAGAGGGCCAAAACCTCAACGGAAAATTCTTTCTCCCCATTTAATCTGAAGTAAGAGTGACTGTAATAACATAAAAATGAGCTCCTTCTTTGTGTTTACACTAAGGTAGAGAAGTAATGTTCCTTCCCACAATCCAGTCACATTCATGGGCATGAACAGAAATTCTAGCGCATAGATTCAAAAACACACTTCTCTAGTTTTTAGCTCAATGAGTTGTGGCATGTCATCTATGTACACGAACACTTCTATAAATGTACATAACACCCCCATATTCAGTGTACACACATGTATACAGAAAGTGAGGATTCTAGGGTGAGGTCCTAACTTGGGTGTCCACAGGGAATCCAGACATGTTCGTGCATGTCTGAAGGGCCAGGATGTGAGACCAGCCATGATCTATTTACATGAGGGCCTGAGATGACACACACAAGAGACGATGATGGGACATGCTGGGACAGAGAGTAGACCTCCCAAGAGTAAGGTCACCTGGCTATGGGAAAACAGAAATCCCTCTTCCTCAGAGGGAGAGGGGTTACATGCATAAGCCCCCTGGTCCTGGAACTGTAGTTTAGGATAAAAGGGGACGCTGAGTCCCTATAGCACCAATATGCTGCATTGGTGTCACCAGATGTCCTCAGTACCCCTAGTTCTTGTGACCAAGAACTAGGAAGATGGTTATATCCATAGAGTCTTTGTGGGCCAAGTAAGATCAAAAGAAATAGTGGTGGGGGTCATTTCCTTCCTACTTCAATCTGGTGCCCATTTATTGACACCTATAAGGCCCATGAAAACAAGAGATGACTAGGAGTAGCACCTGCCCTTTGTGACCTGGCCCTGGTGGCCTCTTCGGCTCACTTCCTCTATCTCCCCTCAGCCTGTTTATCTGGCCCGAGCCCGTGGAAAATCCCTCCTCATCCAAGGGTGAGGCTGCTTGCACCCTCTAAAAACTCCCCATGCCTCAGCTCAAATGCAGGGGTTTGCCTTTCCTATGCCATAGCGCCCTGGTGTGCATGACCCCCTCTTAAGGATGATGTAGCCTTAGCAAGGCAGAGAGATCCTTTAATGCATAAGTCCTGTCACTCCTCGAAACATTCTAATGGCTTCCAACTCACTCAGGAGGGTCCCTGCTACCTTCCTGTCCTCGTCTCCTTCCCCTTCTACCTCCGGGGGAACCATGAAGCTTATACAAATGGGAGCACTTTCTAAGAAATGTCACACAAAAATGTATAAAGGTGAGTGTTTTGCAATGAGAAGACAAATCACCATAGATTAAAAAGCTCCCCAACTCAATGTCCCCTTGGCTGGATCCCCAAAATGCCAATTGCCCAATGTGCAATGCCATCCAGCTTGGGGGGTAATCTAGGGGAGGGGATGGAGGGGTGGGAGGAGAGAGCAGTCCTAGTCAACTGCAGTTAAAATACTTATATGTGTAAATTTACAAAATGTGTGACCATATCAACACACTGCCAGGCTTCTCTCAGACCTTGGAGGGCCCTATGCAAGCGAGGGGCCCGGAAACCTCACGAGATTCCCCGGGGCCAAGGCCCTTTCCTGTCGCTGGTCTAGCCACATCGGCCACCTTTGCATGAACTCGCTGAGCCAAGGCTTTGCTTTTGCCGTTTGCTCAGCCTGGAGTGCCCTTCCCTCAGCTGTCTAAACAGCTGGCTCCCTCGCTCACTCTATTCAGGTCTGTGCTCAAACACCACTGTGTCAGAGTCCTTTGCAGAAGCATTTTGTGAACGTGAACTCTCCCCCTTGCCCTGCTTTATTCCTCTCTCACGTATCAGCACCTGGTGTGCCATCGAGTTGTTTGTGGCTGGTCCCCCGGAGGGAAATGTGAGAGCAGACTCTGCTGAGTTCATTACTTTATCCCCAGTTCCTGTCGCAATGCCTGGCATGCAGTCAATGACTAGTACTTTTTGAATCCGTAAATGTTTAAATAATTGTAATCATTACATCATAAGCACTTTTTGACAGGCCTCTATTACAGCGATTTGCAACTGGTGTGCCACAAGAATTTTTAAAATAGCAAAACCTGACTATTTAGTCAGGGCACTGACTTCTTTTCTCTTAGATTGTCAAATGAAAAATGGGGGTGGGGGTGGGGGTAAATGGCGACAACTATACTTGAACAACAATAAAAAAGAAAAAAATGACAACAGCCAACACAATAGCCATCTGGTTGTGAATGAATCAAAACTATACTTATCTTCTTTTTGTCAGATGGGCAGAAAATCTATTTTTTGGTGTGCCAAAGAATGTTAGTAATTCAGCTTCTGTGTGCTACGAGATGAATACGGTTGAAAATAGCTGCTCTACTAGCTGCTACAATACTTGAGAGCAGGGGACTGATCATCCTTCCATTTATTCAACACATTTTCTGGGCACTCCATGAGCATTGGAGTCTGCTAGGACTTCTGTGAGAAGACACCACAGACTGGGGGACTTAAATACTATAAATTTATTTTCTCACCATTCTGAAGGACGGGAGTCCAAGATGCGGTTGGGTCAGGTTTGGTTTCTGGTGAGAACCCTTTCCGGCCTGCGGGTGGCACCCTGCCCTTGGGGCCCTCGCGTGGCCTTTCCCGTGTGTGCACCGGGGAGAGCTCCTCTTCCGAGTATTCTCTTCTCTT